GGATTGATCTTTCAAGTGTTTTGCGGTGGTTTAGGGCCTCTTTTCTCTATGTAATTCAGTACTACTAAGAGGAGGGTAGCTGCCGCTAGTAATTTTTTGTCATAGCAAGCTTGGGCTCAAGTTTCCAATAATTAAATGTGCCTTTCCGAACGTTGCCTGGATCTCAACGGTGGAGATGCGAGGTCGAGAAATGGAAAATGTTGCATCTCGGCTTAGCAAGAGCTTGTCAAAGAGTGTGAGACAGTACGATGACAGGTTCTGGTTGGTTCCTCCATGTCGACATCTCTGTAAAACAACCCTGCAATTTTTGGTGAGTGGTCCTCTGCCATTTTCTAATAAGTCTTGTTACATAGCAGCCCCATTGTCTTTACAATACATAGTTAATGGCAAGACGAAATGACCCGACAAATTTCAATGAAGATCTCGTTCATCTGCTACCGTAAAAATCCGAAAAATAAGCCCTGGGGCTTATATTTTTCAAAGGCTCTTTTTGAGGGGCTTATTTTTGGAGGTGCTTACATTCGGAGGGGCTTATCTACAGAGTGAAACTCGTGTTTTAAAATCGATTGGGTTAGCCTTATAGTTGGAAGGAAATTTACCGTTTTTGCTTTCTTTTTCTTCGTAATTGAGGGCAATTTCCAAGTAAAAGCCCCCAGGAAGGGGGGGGGGGTGGGCTTATATTTGGAGGGGCGATTTAACAGAGGTTTTTTTTTGCATTACGAGTTTGGGGGGCTTATATTTGGAGGGGTTTATTTTCGGAATTTTACAGTACTTTTCTTTAAAGTGATGCCTTTAAAGTGATCTGCTATGCAATTCTTCTGCGATGACATTTCTGGCAAACTGTTCGGAGGATCGCGTCCACTTTTTGATTTTGTTTCGTCGACCACGGCAAATCGCATTCATTCATTAGAGTTTGAGTGGAACATACTTTTTAAAGAAAACTGCGTCGCATGAGAAATTTCTGAGCCAAAACTACCGAGGGATATTTAAAAAATGTCGAATAATAAGTCACTATCCAGCGATAAAGTACAGTTGTAAATAGAAAAAAAAAAGATTATTGAAGAATTAGAAGGCTACCAGACCAGATGGGATGTCACCAAAATTATTGAAACTCCCAAGCCTACTTTTGTAGCCACGCTTATTTACCATCCTCTTGATCCTCTACAAGTGCAGTTCTTGTACGCATGATTGCAGGGCTTATAGTGATCGGAAAGTGTTTAGACTAATTCCTGTGTACAAGAAAGGTGATCATAAGAAAAT